GCTGTCTAGGCTATGTCCCCAGTAACATCCTTCCGCGGTCTTTTTAATAGATCGGATTGCGTTAACCACGGAGGGCGGGCAACAATTGCCAGGCTTCCGAATTTCAGACATGACGACAGAGGAGGCGAGCTGCCAGCCTTCAAATTCAAAGGCAGTTCTAAACAAGGTCGTATCACGGAAGATCCAGGTAAAAGAGACTGCACACGAAATTACGGAAATGTAGGAGCAAGGTGGCGTCAGGATTCAGCGCTTGAGAGATGAAGGTTCATGTTGGGTTCATGACAAGCCGGAGAATTTCCGGATTAGGCGGAATGACGGTCATCGTGAGCATCGGGAACTCTAAAACGTGTATATTCGCAGGCGTTCAGGGTCTACTATGCATATGGCGTACTACATGTACAACAGGAAAACTATACATGAGTACATGATTGGGAAGTCAAGGCTATAGATATCCGGAACGATTACAACCCCCTTTCAGAGGTGGGGTCCTCCCCGAGCACCTGCCGTAGCAGCAGCTCCACCCGTTCGCGATCGTCACTTATCCGACGCATCTCCTCCACCCACCGCGCCTCCCGTTGCTCGTATATCCCCTTCAGAGCGCCAAGGCTCCCGAGCGCTGCACCCAAAGCGCGTTTGAGGTCCTCTTCGCGCGACTCGTCGGAACCGTCGCCAGACGAGTTGGAAGGTAGCAGGAACCGGTCCGCGAGCGAGGACGACCGGGTCCGTGTTGCTCTGCGCTGGGACGCGATAAGACGGAATCCGGTACGCAGACTCATCATGGCTGGCGAATGTAATAAGGACGGATGGCGCTTGATGGATCGCGATGAGACCGAATGCAGCTTCGTCGAGTGAGACGGTGCGGCGAGTAGAACCAGTGTCGCATCCGTCTGCCGGTCCAAGGCATGGAACTGAAAAAGAAGCCAATAAGCAGGGTCAGAGTTGCCTAAAGGGTTACTGTGGGGCAAGGGTCCACTCACAGCCTGAACAAGCCCCTCCCACCGCGTCTCCCACCGCCGGCGGCGCTTTTCAACGTTTGCAACAAACGTGGGATGATATTCTAGGTCTAAGAGATCATCTTCGTCTCCGTCATCGTCCTCGTCAACCCAATCAGCATCGTCCACTGAGGAGGCATCATGGTTCGGTGCGACACCGACCCAGGCACCCTCTTCGGGTACTGCAAACCGCTGCGACTCATCGCCCTCGCCGGCGGTTTGATCCCCCGAATCGTCCTCGTCCCCCTCCTCATCCGTCGTCTCCTTCGGCTGTGTGCTGTCCACCCGCGGGGGCAGTCTCCTGGGCGATACCGGCCTCTGCACGCCAACCACACGCTCCTTCTTGCGCACGCCAACCGTCTTCGGCGGTATCGGCAGCGCCACGGGTTCGTGGCTCGGGCTCGACTGCATGCTGCGCAGATCGTGCCTACCGCGGCCAAGAGTGCGGTTCGTGTGCAGGTACGCCCATGGATTATAGGCCGCGCTGTTGCCGTGGCCCGGGAAGGGCGTCGCCGCGGGAGAAAACGTCGAATCTGACACGTGCCCGCCCGCGAGCGCGCTCTGATTCTGCGCGTACACCTGCCATTGCCGCGCAAGCTGCTCCTGGATCGTCGATGGGTGGTGCATGTCGTAGGGGGCGTTGTTTGGGTCGAAGGTGGTGCTCGGAACGGGAGCGCGCGGGGCGTATGAGTAGGAGTTGTTTCGGCGGACGTGGTTGAACGGGTATGGGTACGGAGAGCCCGCGGGGGCGACCGGGCTGAACGGAGGGTACTCCCTCATATGCGCGTTGTATGATGCGGTGCGTACCAATGGGGACGGTGAGGGGGCGGCAGTCTGGCTGTGGGGCGTCGGCGGGATGGGCGCATCCGGTCGGGGCGAATTGAAATAAGATTGAACCGTTCGGGTGGTCCATGTAGTGTTGCTGAATGTCATCGGGATGCATGTGCTGCGTGTACTGACCCTGCGCATTCGGCCTCGATGTTCGAGACTCGTAGCTTCTGTGCTGCGTATACTCCTGTTGCCCCTCCGCATCGATACGCCGTTGCTCGACATACTGGGGCGGTCTATCAAGATCGGGCGATCCAATTCCCATTTTGGCATATTGCCCATCGCCCTGCGCGAACATGGCCGGGTCAAAACTGCGCAAGCCAAGTTGATCTGTAGAGCCGTTACGCGTTCTCGCGCGGATGGTGGCATTCTGAGCGGCGTAGCGAGGGTATCGGTCGGGCTCCATGGCATGGTCAGGAGGCAGGTTAGATTGAGGTGATCGCGGCGTGTATCCCTCCTCTTCGTCTGGAGGCGTATGTCCCGCGCGAGGGCGCACTGTATCATCGAGATCTTGGTCGATTAGTGTATCGTCGTCATCCTCTTCTCGATGACCGGCACGGCTGTCCCTCCCGCCATGGGCCAGTAGATTGGCTTCGTAGTTAGCGATTCCATCGGGATTGAGGTCGGACGACGGCGTCGGCGAGGTGGAGCGCTCAGGGACACGTACATCGCTGTAGAATTCATGGCCACCACCGGGGCCTTGAATAGTGGGGACCTCGTCCTCTTGCTCCTCCTGCACCGGAAGGGAGCGATCCGGTGTGCGGGGATTCACCGACATGGCCTGCAGTGGCGGTGTCTGCCCGTGGGTGCCCACGGCAAGCAACCGCGACTCAGGCGCGGCATTAGACGTCCGACGCGTTAACGTGGTCTGGGACGAGCTATGCTCGTGGTGATACGGATTATAGCTATATTCGTGATCACCAGGAGACTGGAGCGGCGTATGATACGCAGGGGAGCCACTCTCGGGAGTACGCGGTTGTGCTTGCGCGAACGTGGCCGCAGTCGGGGATATTGGCTGACGCTCTCGCGATTTCGGGCTCTCTCGGAGCGGCGGCTGCCTCCTCTGCTGCTGGCCATCGAGGGCTTTGGGGCTGACACGCTCTGTGGCGCGAATCCGTTCCACAGCGGGATCCAGTTTCGGTGGCGAATCGCGAGAATACGCGTATGCGTGGCCCTGCGCTTGCTGGTCAGCGCGCTCAATGTCCGCCATCAGTTCTTCCGTCATCTGCCAGTTTTCTTCTAGCTTGGTGAGGAAGTGGGGTGGGGGTATGCGGTTAATGGGTCGAGGGTAGTTCACGGTGGGTGAAGTGTGAGAATGCTGGAGGTGGGGAGGGGGAGGGGGAGTGATTTGAGGCTCTGGCTCGTGTGGCGCGAGGACATGAGGGGGCGAGGGTAGTATTCGCTGATTAGGAGGAGACCGCTGCAGGGCGTTGAGATTGTGAGCAGCGGTTGGACTGCCCTGCTGAACAGCCTGCTGAACAGTGTTAGTGCCCGGGCCAAAGATTTGCATGACACTGGGTACTATGGGCATCGAGAGCGCCTTCATAGAGCGAGGTCTGTGAGTGGGAGAGGGAGACATCTCCCGGGTCTGAAGCGCATGTATAGTTCCTGGAATAAGACGAGTCAGCTCGTCTGGCCATGGAGATCGAGATCAAGGTGGGATATGGGAAGCAGATGATCCTGGCCAGATTGCCATAGGAAGGAAAGGATGAGTGACAGAGGAAGGCTTACCTGGAGACGGGTGAGCCTGAGGCTTCCGGGAGCGTTGCGGGGAGTGACTGGCCATGAGCAATAGTTGACTTCAGGAAGAAGAGTACGAGGGAATAAGATGCTCTTGCTTTAACAAGGGGAATCTTGGTGTGCGTTTTCAACGTGCCCTCAGCCGTCGAACGGTGACAAGTCTACAATGAGGCGGGCGCCAACGTTAGGAAGGCCATCTTAGGAAGAGGCTGCCTCGAGGCACAAATGCCGGTCCGAGCCAGTTTGATGTCAACCATCACCATGTCTTGCGCCACTCGTAAAATCGGGGGAAAAAAGAACAATAGACCTAAGACTGAAGAGACAACAAGAGGACAAGAATTGGTTTCCAAGAGCCCAGAATACAAGAACAACAAGGAGGTTTGGAAATGCGTCACATTCGTCACATCACGAAGAAGAACACAGCCACCACCAGCAGTGGGGATTAATAATTTGGTTCCTTTTTGATTCCATAATGAAACGGGCAGCCAAGGCAGCGGATGAAACATGTTGTTATGACAGCAAACAAATGCGACGTCTTGAAGGACCGGATTATTTCTCGCTTGATACAAGACTTTTGCTTGAATTGAGCAATTGCCGAAAGCCTCGCCAGAAGATGAGATCGATGAAAGCCTGGTTAAGTCCGATAAACTCTGGGCCCGGAGATCATCGAATCCGAGAGAATCCGAGCCACTCGCCTTCTTCATACCTGCAGGAAAAGGGTGGAGATCACAAGCAGATCAGAAACTTCAATCGAAAGCTATATCGAATTCTTGTACCGTCCAGAATGAGGAGATATAGGACCCCATGCATCTTGAACTTTGAAGTGATTTGCACTGATCTTGGGCGTCTTCCGGATGGCCGGTGCACCCTGGAAAGATCTATGGTGTCAAAGAGGCAATTGTGCCAGAGACGACTTCTATCCTGGAGCTTGACCAACGAAGGATAAAATGACCGCATGCAGGCTAATCACCGTCGGTGCGCAGGCTCACTCCCGCAACTTGAAGCGGCAACCGGCGCTGTAGGAAAGAGGAAGACGGCGTGAGAATGTTTGCTGACGCGTCCGTGTTGTTTGGTTCCGCTTGCAAATGCACGTGCCATTCGTTATTTCGCATTCATCGTCAATGGTTCACTGTTCAGAGATCGAATCACTCATTATGTAGGCCCCTGAGGAGATCCAACAGCCCGTCAAACTCACCAATTTTTTTCAACCCATATTGCGGAACATTCAATTTTTTCTTCAGTCGATGGTTCGAAATGGTTGTGAGTAAGAATCTAGGCGCTATTTGGCAGCCAGCACCGACGGGCCGGTACTTGTACTCGCGCCTTCTGGAGGTAATCCAAGAAGGAAGGAAGGAAGGAAGATGTATAACTGCAGCAGTGGCAGCAAGCCTTCGAAAAGTTCTTGATAGAATACAGACCAAAATTGCATAAACCCACAGCGGGGACTTGGTGTAGTAGTTAACACTCGTCGGGTATAGAAGTGACCCGTTGGACCCGTGTGTAATCGGGCAATTAATACTGAGAATTTGCGCATGCGACCAACATGCGACGAGCCGAGGGTTCGATTCCCTCAGTCCCCATCATTTTGTTTGTTTCGTCAAAAATAGCCTTCCTCCATACGGGTCTTTGTTACGCGCGGGAGGTGATCTCCGCGCAATACAAAGCCACGTCCCGCGCAATATAAAGTCGAGAATACAAAGTCAAGTGCAGCACAACACCAGAACTCAAAAGGGGCGGATCAAAAACGTTCCAAATGGGGGTGATTCTATTTGGGGCGGAGACCCTAAAAAGGCAGTTTGTTTTGCGCGGAGCATCAAAGTTACGCGGAGGAATAAATGCGCATCCGGACCACCATAAGTATGCACTCGTAAAAGAACAAGAGCCGTGAGCTGCAATTACTTCGATCGTCAAGTTCAGCTGTTCAATCAACCCAAAGATTCATCAACCACACCCAAATGAACATATACAATGATACCGCTTTTTTATATCACAAATCCAGAAATAATCCGCCTCTCGTTCTAAATTATTCCCTCCATGCGCTGTTCATGTGCACGAAATCTTCTGAACCAATTGAATTGGGGGACACGCTCCGCCAGTGTTGGTGAACTTGACTGCCCCATTCACGTTCTGCGGTAGTTCAATAAGCGCATGAAGCACGCCGTTGGGCCCAGTGAATTATAATAAATACCTGATAAAGACAGACCGGGGAGAACGATTGGATAGGGGGATTATTGAAGCTGGAAGAGAAGAAATCACGTCAGATAGGTTCAAAACCAGACTTACGCGGAATATACTCACTTGCACTGAACGGTGTTATCTCCTTCCTCTGTCTGGACCGTCAGGGTCCTAGTGAGGCCTTGGAAGAAGATGCTTGAAGGGCATACACCGCACGACATTAGCGCAGAGGCAGTCGCGGAGAATGAGGTGATGGCAAGAGCGAGAGTGAGAGCTGTGCGGGAGAAGCATTGTTTCTGAGGGGAAAACCCTAGTCAACTCCAGGCTTTATACCGACCACAGTGAACACATCAGACCGGGTCTTCGAGGTGGAATGATGAACTAGGTGATTCTGAAAGTAGGTGACATTGTTGGACCTTAAATCACCAACTTTTGACATCGAAGAGTCACCAGGAGTTACTTCCCAGAGCTAGAATGAAAGGGAAGTGTACCAAAATGATCTCGGGTATGAACCACGTGGGATTTTGGAGGTTCAACTTTGATGCTGGCAGTGAGAAAATAAATCTAGTACCGCCTGATATACGGAGTCCGCCGGCCACTGTCAATATCTGAACTTGGGTTGAAGTTCTTACTCTCGTCAGAGAGAATGCCCTACCATGACTCCATGACTCGCGCAAAGCGCTCCGAATCTGCTCGCGGACGTGAGAGTTTAGATTGCTCCATTTTCAATCTAATTATGTGATTCCGGAGCCCGGATGAATTGAAAGCTGCGTACCCTATAGATGGCCCTGCTTTCTCTCTGAATTACAACCGAGCACGCGTCTTCTTATGTGCCGCTCGAGTTCGGCAAGGACAAAAAGTTCTACTTGGCAATTTAGTTAGGCCCGGTCGAATCGAAGAACTTAACCATTATATACAACCACGGCTGGACCGCCAGCCTTGGAGATTGGTCCAAATCCGAGTCAAGTTTTTTTCCATTCGGAGGGAGAATCTTTCCGTGAACATTCGTGTGTGCCTTTTGCCAACTTGAACCTGAAGCCTAAGTTCTTCAAACTTCTTGGACGCGTTCTTGACCGAGTGGAAACCTTTAGGCGCCATTTGTGATGCTTCCCATGTCATGCTTTTCGACGTAGAGCAGGGGTTGGACGACGTGGACAACGCAAGTCATGAGATGGCAGGATTTAAACTTGAACTTTGATTGCGGCATAAAGTGATCCGAGGATACCAAACATGTACACACAGCGCGTCTTCCTTCTCACGCTCAGCACGGACGTAAAAAAAAGGAGTCAAGGTGCCTACGGTTTCTGTTGGCCAAGGATGCGTACCATCAACTAAATCATTTCAGATTAAATGGCCGACTCAGCCTGTTCTCGGGCCTTGCAAGTTGCTGAGATTGCTCGCATAGTCTGTGAGGAGGTGCCATATGGGTCTCGGAGGTCGCTGCTGTCCTTGGCACGAACGTCCCATACATTTCAAGATCCAGCTCTCGACATTATATGGCGCGAACAACATAGTTTGGTGCCTCTCGTGAAGTGTATGCCCCAAACGTTGTGGGTGGAACAACCGAACAAGACCTTTGTGAGCCTATTTTTTCATATAAAATGATTTTCAAGCTAATTTTCCGCAGCGGTTGCGTCGCCCCATTCTATCCATGGATCTGCAGAGATTGTTATTTTATTCTGTCCGCGTCAGAGTCTTCTCTGACAAGAGCTACCTACAAACCGCCGTCGACGGTAATGTAGAGACGGAATTCCTCCAAGCGTTGGAAATGTCTCTGGCATCGGGTGCTTTGATGCCTAACCTTACTCGTCTTTCGTGGAACCCCACAGACGAATCTTCGCTGCCTTTGGTTCGCATACTCCTTGGGCCCCGGATTCGGCAGATAGAACTTACCCTTGGAGCCACCGCTTCAGATCTCTCATTTCTACCATATCTGAAGTCCACCTGCCCGCTTGTGTCTCTTCTCCATCTCCGGTTGAAATTGACCCCATTCACTCTTCCCACGTTCACTCTTCCCACTATCTCCCATGTTATCTGTGGCTGGACGTATCTGCAGGACCTTAGAATCCCCAGCCTAGATAAACAGGGATTCATCCATATCGCCAGCCTTCCCTGTTTAAAGACCCTGGATCTTACCTATGCCGACGAAGATCCGGTACCCCTACATCTCCCGGACTTCATATCGGGCCCAGCCTTCCCCGCACTAGAAGACCTTTCCGTAGCCTGTAGAACGGCCCGTTTTTGTCAGGGGATCCTCGAGATCATCTCTTCTCGGCAGGTAGAAACTGTGGGCATCTACACGATGTTCGCGCATTGGAAGGCATCGGCCTGGGAGGCGCTGCATACCACCATACGTGATCGTTTAGATCACAACGCACTGAAGCATATCTACGTCATGGAACACCGCAGGTCGCAGACTCCGTTGGTGGACGTTGCACCATACACCTTGACGTCCGTCACATTACGACCTTTGATGGTATTCAAAAATCTCCTCGACATCAAGTACGAACTCAGCCCCGAAATATCCGTCGATGACGCGTTCTTAGAGGAACTAGCACTAGCATGGCCGCACTTGACATCGTTGGAGTTTGGGACAGAGACTTTCACGAATCGAACGCCGCAAGCAACTTTACGCTGTCTAATTGCTTTCGCGCGGCACTGTCCCAAACTAGAAAGCCTCGGTGTCCGAATGAACGTCTCCGAGTTCAATGTTCCTCAATTTTCACACTCATACGGGAATCGAATCGCCCACGATCTCAACGCCTTATATGTGGGGACCTCTCCGATAGGCGAACCGGCGCCCGTGGCGGCCTTCCTCTCAAATATTTTCAAAGACATGGAATATCTCTTTACGTACAGCGGCAGCGAGGACAACAGACACGGTGAGGGCTGGAGTCGAGTCTTCGACATGCTACCGATATTTTGCTCTGTGCGACAACAAGAGGAAGAATATTGGACGTTGGGGACTGCGGAGGGTGAAGAGAACGAGGACTAAACGGGGCCGCAATCCATTGCATCGGTATTCGCTGAGCGGGCGGTTAACGAGGACAGATGACGAGTAATAGAGACTTGTTCTGAGTTCAGTCTTCAGAATTAATATTGTCCGCGTTGACTTGCCATTTATTTTAGAATGACCAAGAAATTCGGATCCCAACTGACTTTTATTCATGTAAGTATGACCGCACAGTCGACTCGGTTTTTTTTTCGATTCCTTTACCATTTTAAAAAATTTACAATCAAGCGAGCACGTGGTCGTCGGACCTCAGACGCGTCCGACAAATTTGCGCGTGTTTGGCCCTACCGTCTTCAAGTGACCACCACCACGCTCATAACATGCCTTTACTGACACCTTCTGCTCCTCCCTCGCTCAACAAATACTCTTTGAGTTTCATTCGGAAGACTGTGGCCTCCGAGAACAAGGATGAAGATGTCGTTGCCGAGACTGCAGTGCCACCTGACCTTGAACAAGCCGAATCTGCCTCCTCGACTGTTTCCCGGCTCAATCTAGCCATGGATAACATCAGTGCAGAAATTGCAGCGGAGCTTTCAGCGGCCTTGATCGGACACGTACTCTTCCTGAAAAGCCAAGTTCCGTTGTACGTTATATATTTTTTCTCTACTCACAAGTTGTTTGTTAATTTCTTATGATCTAGTCCTGTCATGCAGCTTTACCGAATACCTGCCAAAAATGTGCCACTCTTCATTCCATACTCTTTACGCTTACGCATTTTCTAGTCAAACCCTCGCGCACTGAAACTGAGAACCGAATTGCTCGCGTCGTTTGACACCCTGAGCTCCCACCTCATGACCACTTTCGTGGCTTTATCAACAGCTTTTGCTCGCACAAATAATCTTGACCCCAAGTCGACGCGACGTGCTTATCTTGCTGTGATGGTTGGTCCAAGTATCGGGTCCGCGAAAACAAAGGTCCTACTTGCCGTTGACGGGTTGGTGACCAAAGTGTGGGGCGAGAGGGACCACGATACCGTCTCCGGAGGTGAGGCCGATGCCAGCAGCAGCGACGATGAAGATGACGCGGATGAGGAAAGTTCGGACGAATCAGATTCAGAAGAAACTGAAAGTTCCACTCATGATTCTGACGACGATGCGTCTTCCCCACCCCCATCTCGCTCCCCGTCTCCATCTCCGCCATCAAGTTCACCTGTTCCTGTACAGGACCACCATTCTTCCAGTCAGAAACCGTCTGTGCCGTCCTATGAAACCACACATCAAACCCTTCGCACCGTCAGCCGTCTGCTTTCCCATAACATGGCGACGGCGGAGCACAGCATGTCCGCTGAGTTGCGTATGTATTGCATCCACTTGCTCTTTCAATCGGCTTATCTGCCTGGTCTTTCAGCGCCGTCGCAGACTCATGTACTCATCCGTGCGCCTAGGCGATTTG